TGCCTGATGACGTCAAGGCGCCGGCCGGAAGTGAGCGGCCCGCGTGAACCTGGCTGGATGCTGACACCCGCCTCGCCCCCTCCTGCCCCGGGGGTCTCGCTCTGGAGCTGCGTAGGCCTGGAACATGCAGACTTCTGCTTCCTGTGTTTTTTATTTTTATTTTTTAAAATATTTATTGACTTTTTACAGAGAGGAAGGGAGAGGGATAGAGAGTTAGAAACATTGATGAGAGAGGAACATCGATCAGCTGCCTCCTGCACACCCCTTACTGGGGATGTGCCCGCAACCCAGGTACATGCCCTTGACCGGAATTGAACCTGGGACCCTTCAGTCCGCAGGCCGCCGCTCTATCCACTGAGCCAAACCGGTCAGGGCGGTTCCTGCACCTCCGGTGGTGCCGACGCAGGCCAGCCGGCTCTGGTTTGAAAACCGCGGCCTCCGGGTGACACCGCACCAATTAGAAAAGCAAAGCCCTTTTCCGGGTTGTCTGGGGCGGTGACTCGAACTCCTCTCTCCTTCCGCAGCTAGAAACATGCGGTTACACTGCAGGGGCTTCGTGGAACACAAGTGAATCATGCCGATAAAAACAGCACCTGACTGGGAGCCTTTGAGCCAGGCAGTGACAGCACAACACTACCCTCCGCCAGGCTCCTCGTATCCACGCTTTGTCCAAGCATTATCTCCCCAGAGCACCTACTGTGAGATCGCTACTGTCTCCCGGTGTCCTCTCCCCTCCCGCTGTCTCTCTAAGGGACATGTCACTGCTTCCTTGTTTATAGTTTCCCCTCACTGAAGTGTACACATGAGTTCATGTCGGATGTGTCCGCATTTCCCCAGGTTGGTGCAGGTGATCCTGGGCCATACTGAGGTTGCCACATTTTATTGAGGCTTGCCCCTCTGGAGAGCCCAGCAGTTTCTCACTTGCCTTAGTAATTGACGCTATCTTACCTACCTCCCTCAGGCCTGGTGCTGGGCCAAACTTTCTACAAAAATGTCTAACTTGCCATATGGCAAATGGGAACATGGGCCCCTCCGCATGTTCCAACTCCCCCTGCCACCCTGGGAAATACAGTGAGGGCCATCTGTAAGCGGACTGTGAGACCTTGGGAACCTGGCCAGCAACTCAGGCTAAGAACAGCCAAAGAGAAGCTTTTTTAGATGTGAGCCTGAATTGTAAACAGCTAGTGTTTTGATTTCAGATAGGCACATCCCCCTCCATTTTTCTGTACTCTATAAAGCACCAGCCAGCCGCCCCTGGTGCTACCTGTGCACAGGCTGATGGGACTTAGCAATTCATCTTCATTGGTTGACACCACAGGTGCGCATGTAAGTCCTAATAAACCTATGTCTTTCACAGCCAGTCCTCCGGGCTATTTCTTTGGAATCTATGAACAACAACACTGAAGTTTTCTGGGACCTCAGCACTTTGTATAACACATGCCCAGCTACCCAGTGTGGAAGTCAGTTTAGTCTAAGGCAGGTGGGGATCTTGAACCTAGACTACAATATTAATGGTTCCCCTTTAGTGAGCTCAGGACATTCAGTGAGCTGTAATTATGGCTGAGAGAATGCACTCCATGTATTTATTACATTTAATCTTTACCTTTCACGTTTAACCTAACCATTCTACGGGGAGGAAAACTGAGGCTCCCAAGTAATATCCCTTGTTATTGCTTAGTTCCTTTCCCACTCCCCCAATTATTTCCTGAATCTTGTGCACCCCCATTCTTAAAGCTTCCCGGTTCCTTCCAACATCTCTACTGCCAAAGACAAGGACACAGGAGGCCGGGTGGAGACCGAGGTTTCACAAGAAACTGATCTTTACTCAACAAAGTTCTACACAAGTGGAATCTCACGCCACCTCGGCGCCAATCCCCAGCACAGCACAGTAACAAATGGACAGACCCTGGAGCCCGCAGGAGGAAGAGGGTGAAGGGGAAAGAGGGACATGGGAGCAGGTGGGACTGTGGATCGAGGCCAGTCAGGGTCCACAGCCCAGGACAGGGGAGGTTGAGAAGCTACACCTTCGTTGTGCAAAAATCAACCAAAAATAAATTAAAATTAAATAGTTAAAAAAAAATAAGACAATGAACCAGAGTCCCACTTCCCTGAAGGCAATTGGAGACCCTCATTCTGGGTGGAGTAGTTCCCAACCCATCAGCCAGCCAATCCAATCCACACACCCCAAGACCCAGCAGAGGCTGCTCCAAAGAATTGGAATTACCAGGAAATTAAATGGTATTAAAATTTTTTTTTCTTTTTTCTTTTTTACAAATGGCTTCCAGAGACCTGCTGGAGTTTCAAGGGGGAGGGGGAACCAGCTGAGTTTATGGAATGTGCACCAAGTGCCCCTTGGAATAGAGGCAGGGCCTGACCCTGTCTGAGAAGACACAGGACTATGATGGGGGTAGGGTCCAAGAACCCAGTGGGATGGATGGAGCAGGCCCCAAGATGCAGGAATCATCAGCCCCCCCAAAGCCCCTAAAGGGACCCCTAAAGTAAAAAGCAGGGGAGGAGGAAAAAGAAAACATTAGGAGGGCCGCAGGGCCCAGCTTCATTTCTAGGCCAACTCAGAATCACATTCCCTCTAGTTCTAGGGGATCCTCTCTCACTGTGACCACACCCCTGGCCAACCCCAGAAGGATCCCTAGAATCACTGCCCCAATCTGGTAGGCTCTTGGGGCCACTGGGAGCAGTGATGAACAGGAAGACTCAGGGCCTCACCACTCCTCTAAGCCCTTGCTTTCCTTCTTGCTGGCAAAGCATAAGCTTTTGTCTCATCAACATCAATTAAATGCCCCAGCCCTTATTATAAAAACTTGGGTCTGGAACTTGAGGAGGGCTCTCTGGAGCACAGAGAAATAGACTGCCCTTTAAATGGACACGCTTATGGAGAGAGGCAGGGGTAGGTGTCAGCCACTCTGGCCACTGCAGCTCTCTTCCAGAAAAAGGCCCCAGCCCAGTGTCTTCATGTCACTGGAGCACAAGCGAGGGAGGAAGGGAGACCTCTGGCCAGCCCTAGCCACTCCTCTGGTCCCCACTCTTCTGGCTGGGATGAGGCAAGGAGAGGGACATGGGGGCTGCGGCTGCCATAGAGCTGGCAGAAGTGTGCTGAGCAGGTCAAAGTGTGTGTGTGTGCTGACAGGGCAGCCCCAAGGTGGCCATCCTCTTATCCCGCCCTGGGTTCCCTGCAAAGGACCCCAACCCACCCAGCCCTCCCCAATCATCATCAATTCTGGTAAAACGGCTGAAGCGTCTTAAACTCTAGATGCAGGTTACACGGAAGGCCTCATGGGTTAACTCAGGGGTTCACTAATTCTACTGTCTCCATGCAGTCAGGGAAATGGTGGGGCAGCTGACCCAGCCTAGCTGGCTGCAGCGCCCACACATGCGTGTAGCCACGTGTGTACGTGTGTGTACGCACCTCTACAGGGACCCCCCCTCCCCGCCTGCTTTCCCCCTGCCTCACCCTAAGCTGATTCGGTCGGCGGTGTTGATTCTTCCCCCCCACATGGCTGGCCCATGTGGGCTGCCTGTGGTGACCCTACTTAGAGAACAGGGCCCTTGCTGCCAAGAAGTCCCACCCCCCTCCCATTTGTAGGATGAGTGTGGAGGCCCCACCCACCTGCCCACCACTGCGGCCACCCAGGCCAGGCATGGCAGGTAGATGGGCAGGGAAGGCATCTGGATTTGGGTCCCACTCACTCCTCCCTAACCCCCCTCGACCAGGGCACGGCAACTTCCGGACGCGGTGTGCTCCCCAGCCACCCTCCGATGACGACGCAGACAGAAACCTGCAGGGAGAGGAAGAATCAGGGCCTGTGCTCCCTCAGCCCGGATGACAGCACCAGCCCCTACATGCAGCCTCCTCACCGGCAGTCTCAATGCTCCTCTAGACTCCGTAGAAGGCAGCCAACCTCTCCTTGAGCAACGGCGGGAACTGCTCTGAGAACTGCTGCCAGTTTTCCTCTCCAACTTGGTCTTTGAAGCCATGGAGAATCTGCGGGCCGGGGAGGTTGGACACCAGAACAGAGCAGATGAACTCAGCCTCTCCCCAGAGAGCCTTCCCCTGCCACCTCTTGGGACTACATCAGGGCGAAGCAGGAGCCTCACCTTATAAAACATGTCCCGAAGGTCATCCTTAGGGCTCACCCAGGAGGCTACAGCATCGCAGAAGAAAATAAAGTCCTGAAATGTGACGGATCCCATGTGAGGGGCCGCCCGAGCCCAGCCCCAGTGCCTTCCCTCAGAGCCCAGCCGCCCCAACCTGCACGACGCCCCCGGGGTTGACGCCTATCATCATGCAGATGCCTCGGAAGGCTGAGTCCTTCTCCTCATTGTCCCTGATGTTCCTGAGGGATGTGCACCTGTGGGGAAGGTGAGCAGGGGGGAATCAGCCGGCAGGGGTGGGGCAGGAGGGGCATCCATAGGAACAGTGGGTAGAGGGGCTGGGGTGGGCCTTGTGTCTACGGGGCATGGAGGAAGCAAGGGGTCAGAGGGTGATGGGGCTGGGACGTGCATCTGAGGGTGAGCAGGGCTGGGTGGACACAGGCAAGGGAACGGATTGGGCCTGTCCCACCCACTCTGCCGCCCGGCCCACCATACGGTAGGCCCCACACAGATGAGCACACACCAAGGCCGGATGAACTGCTGCAGCATGGGTGCCACCTCCTGTGGGCACACGTAGCCCAGGCGGCCGATGGTAATGGCTGGAATGGCAGAGGGACTCATCAGGCGACCTGCAACCCCGAGTGGCCCCGGGACAGTACATGGGGGGGCCTCTGGCACCAGGCACCAAGCCCCGTCCCA